GCTAATTTGGTGACTGGCACGGTTGGCTCGTGGGTGTTTCTTTACTGCACCGACTACGTTGTAATGGCTGACGCGGGAGGTTGACCTGTGGGAGCGCCGGGGACGACGCTCAAAAGAGGAGGGAGGCTATGTAATACGATAGTGGTTTATCCCTCGGCATTGGTGAGGCGCCACTTTTGAACTTTTGAATTAGCCTTCCTGTACCTCGCTGGGTGGGCTGGCCTCTTGGGCCATTCCAATAGCCCAGACACCTTCTCCGTGCTGAATATATATATACTGCCCGAGTATTGTCTTCTTTCGTCTTCAGGGAGTCCTGGGACGCTACAGTTATCTAACTTCTATATGAAATTCAAAAATCTCATTTTTCATGTTCACAGTGGCCTCAGTTTCTAGCATTCTCATGGTTAGGTTGCCCTCTATTTTGCACTAGAAATACGGGTGCCACTACCTTTAATAGCCTGTGACCTGCTGGTTTTTATTTGCCGCTACAGCATAATTCATATCTGGCCTCTGTAGTTTACGTGATCAGCCAACAGGTGGACTTAAACCGGTTTAGCTGGCTAGTGACGTCTAAACCCCTATACCTAGTGACAATTTTATTTATGACCTTAAACAAAACGCATGCTCATGTGGTACCATTTCAAAAATTCCACGCAAAAGCCTTGACACTGGGGAAAGTTCACATTTGAGGCGCCCGATCATGCTTAAGAAAATGTACGATCAGGTCTCTTGAGCATATATTACCGTTTCTTTTGCGTAAACTATGGCGTTATTATTTCTCCTTTCCTCTTACCCAGCCATCCTTCCGCAATTTGGTTAGTTTTAATTGGCATAGTACTCTTCAAGTAGTAGCTTTGGGTGTAGTTTTACTTCTGGATACAGACGACGCAAACATACCTTAGATGGCAATGCTGAATGTCAAATTTGAGCACTGATTATAAGACTGATAAACCCAAATGCACCCATTTGCAGAATTCTGATAAAATTATTAATAACAGAAGTCTTAACTCTTCATATAAATATATTTGGAATTGGAATTATGGCGTCTTCAATTAAATGATTTATTTGCATCAGTACCGTGAATCCTGGCCTATTTTAAGTGCTCTAACGAGCTAATGCCTAAATACCTCCATCTCGATGAGGTTTAAATGTGTCTACAAGTTATTAATGGCCCGTATTTGTAATCTTTAGCTTCATATTTTTCATTGAAACCGTTCACCGTTACCAAGTTTAGCTATTACAAATCCGAGTCAGATCCAGTTAGAACGCCTTCATGCTGAACGAAATGCTTAAGTACGTGCTGTTGGCAAAAGTGTTGTGTGCATTGTTTATGAATGGAAACGCCTATCTATAGCATTATGCTCACAGGCTAGACAAAAGTGTGTTCTCTACTATCTGCCCCCTTTTTTACGCCTTTTCCTTTCAACTTGGTTTTTCGCGTGGGCTTCATATGATTCATCACAAACTAATGGTTTTGGACAAATAAAAACCGCTTGAACACCTGCTTTGTAGCAAAAGAGTTAAAGACATATCCCCCGCGTAAAAAGGCTAACAAAGACAAAAGATCGAAACAAGTTAAATTTTTTTTATCAAGACAGAGTTTCATAAAAGTGATTAGAAGTAATTCAGCCAAAAGTTAACTTATATATAATAATATAATTTTGATCCCTTCAGCCAAAAGTCCCTTTCCATTAATTTAAACACAATCGCATTCAATCAGGGTGTGAATGTAAATTAAAGGCATGCTAATAATCATTTTCTGCCAAATAGATAACTCATGTCTTTCTTTTACCCCAAAATTAAAATAAATATGTACCTTCACTCAGCATTAAAGCGAAAGAGTCTAAACGACGTGCAGGGTAAGTTTTGTCGCAAGCACAAAGTTTGCAAAATAATCTTTTTGCTCTTTTATTAGTTCGACCCTGCGGAGGAAATTTCGCTCTTTATTAATAAATAATAGATGAATCGTCCTTTCATATTTTTTTGCATTGCCATCTGCAGACTGATGCATTTCTACTATTCTGTGTGAACACAGTGGTCAGGGGGTCATACGTTTTAACCTCTAGCAAACCGCGAATGTTATACCACCAGCGGAAAATGCATGAATATGGGACTATTTTTAGTATTTGCTTTTGACAAGCGGAAAACGGAAAATCGTGAGACTTGAGTAGAGGAAGAACTCAAGGACTCAGGTGTAAATATCACATTCGATTGGCTCATGGTCAACCAATAAGATAATTCTTTAAAAGTCTTAACATGGACTGCATGATTGTTAAAATTACTTTATTTCACAGAGCAAGAATCTTTAGGGTTCCGGAGGCTATGGGTGTAATTCGTGCAGCGAAACTGAATCTAAAGGTAAACAGAAGTTTAAAAAAGACTTCAAGGTGGAATAAAAAACCGTAGACCTTGAAAATAAGGTTAGGTCATTAGAATTGAAGAAATGCAATGTCAGTTAAACTTTAAAAAGGAATTTATGACGAATTTGGTGCCTAGATGGTAGTAATTTACATTACGACGAGGTTGCAACCTAGATATGACTGCAGGAATGCCAATAAAAGAGTGGGATTCCCTCTAGGTGCCAAATATTCCTAGGAGCAGTACCTTCAGAACGAAATTTGCCGGTTTACAGCGTATTCGCAAATTTTCCCAGATTCTCTACAGAAGTAAGCATAAAAATCACTGGCCTATCTGCTCTACTTCCACTTATATAATAGAAATTGGGAGCGATTTCGGTTAGTTCTACTACTTAGTAACAGATAATCTTAGCGTTTGAGTCCTTTAAAAGCTGCTTACCAAACTTGAAAGTAGTGCTGAAGTTGCTACTATTACGACTGACTAAATTCGCTTGGTCTAACTTTTGGTCTAAAACGTGGCAGAGTTGTAGTTTTTCCCATGATAAGAAAGAAGGTGTATGGGAAAGTAGTGGAATAATTTATAATGCGCTGTCACAGAGCGAGTTAGTTTTAAGTCAACCTAAGCGAATGCATCCAATGACCGTTTGGGTTTATTAAAGTTACGTGCTGAACTGAATTGCTTCTAATTAAAGTGACATGGGATAGCAATTGCGGTAGTAATTTTCACCCCATAATTTCAAGGCCTTAAAATCAAAAACCCGTTATACTAATGGGATATTCATTTAGAAATTTTCTTCCAAAGACAAAATTTATTTAAAAATAGGTGTGTTGCCTAATTGGCTGATCCAATAATGCGCCCATCTTGAGATGTAATTTGAACCGAGAGATGGTACTTGGTACGCGGACACTTTAAAATTGGAAACGGTTTTGTAGAATAGCATATAGGGTTATTAAAAATAATGTTAACTTTAGCGCAGAGTCCAGCGATGTTAACGAGGTCTCACTATCTTAAATGTTATCTAATGATTGTTCTGAAATGTTATATTTGGGCCTTAAATCGGACAAGTATTTTTAGTACTTAATAGGAGTGCACCTCTAAAATGTATCACGTGAAAAGGTAATGTAAAATGTTTGCATTCAATTTAAAACGAATTGTTCCTAAACGGTTGGGTTTTGAGGGGAAGGTTTTTAATAAGAAAAAGGCAAAAATTGCTTCAGGACATTCCAAAATCGTGATCAAGGGTGAAAAACTGAATTGCTAGTTGATGAACTTGATGGATATTCTCCAAAAAAAACTAAAGAGGAAGTGTCATTATTTTACAGCCGGCCAAACTCTTTTGATCAAGCTCTCATCGGTGAAGAGGTTTTAAAGTCTGTAAAAGATGAGCTACGCAAGAATAGTCATTGTGAATTAAATCTGAATCTCGGTAAACACAGATCTTGTTCTCTAAGCGCAAGAAAATGTGAGTAGATTGTTGGCAAAAAATAAACAGTGAGGAAATTGTTATTTGGGAAAAAATGAGTAAAACTGCAACACAGCGCTCAGATAAAATCGGTGTATAAAACGTGCAAAAGATTGCTATCGCCGTCGTATATACTCTCTGAAAACCGTATTTCATTACCCTACTTCAAAACTGTAATTTACACCATTTTATTATCAAAATAAACTGTTTTTTGTCAATTATTTTATCGTATTCTAACAATTACCACCATTTTAGGTTGAAGGCTTCAATCACTGAATGAATGGTGATAGGTAGTGTTCATATTTTGCAATCTACCTTCAGGCGATTAAAGCAGACAAGGCTATTATTTACTAGCCAAGAAAATATGAAATGATATAATTTTATAAAACGCCGCACTAACGCAGATGAATCAACGTGTTATGGACAATACTTACGGCAATGGGACTTTTCACGCTTAATGAGACTGGTGCCACCTAAAAAAGTCTTTCTTTTAGGAAACCAAATACGTTTTAGTTGTTTGTTACTATAAAAATAAAAAACTGTAGAAAGATTCATAAAAAGAATCGCAACTGCAGTCCACATTTTTCCCAACAAGGTAAAAGCTTAACATGAATTCCACTTCCATGAGAGCCTTTGCTTCGGAAAGCAAACAGCTTAGCTCCCACTGACCCTCATTTCTTTCTTGCTTAATTTCTAGCTATTATTTCAATATTCTACCAGTTAGCCTACGGCTCAGAAAGGGTAATGATCATCGTTAAGAGGATTGTCGTCATCAGAGCATTGTGGGGGCCGAGGCAATGTCTTTCTTCGTTGCATTCCAAGGTGAGATGTGAGGTCGTCATAGGGTAAGCATGAAAGCAGTACGACGTATGAAGTCTTTCAATGTCTTGCAACAAAACCACATGCTTCCCACTGGTTCACTACCCCTCACTGCATGTTCTAATAGTTTCTCAAGGAGGCACTTCTTCACCTTCCACACCCTCAACTTCTAGCTGATGGTGTGGGGCAGATATGTGTGAAACATAATTTTTGTCGCACCTTCAAGAAGACTGAAGTTCAATGCATACACCCACACGCACACAAAGCCTGGACTCCTAGTGGCTAAGTAGCGCTTTCAGAGGGTCGGATAGTGAATGGATTGTCAGTAAATATGTCGTAGATCAATGCCTATTAGATGGCTTGAGGAGAGTTGTACTACGAAAGCACAATGGACATTGGCATTTATTCAGCACGTTCCCCAATTTGTTAGTCAGCAAATAAACTAAAATGCAGGCCGCACTTTTACAAGCTGAGTGAAGAAGTTATGAACAAATTGATGGTCTTGAAAGCCCGTTGTCCCGACACCTGTTGGTGCACGTACATGAGATCCGTGTGATCAGCTTTCACTACAATTTCTCCATTGCAACTGGTGGGAGTGTGGACGATTTGTGGCCTTACACCAAACACAACTGAAAGTTGGCCTCCACTAGCTAGTCTTTTGCGGCCTTAACATGTCATTGCTCTTACCGAATGCATAATCCACCACATTATAAGGAATGGGAGGACTTAATTCAACACCTTTACCACCATTTAGATATACATTTAAGGCATTTGGTTCCAGACGATACACTCTGCTACCGCAGACCTCACCTCACCGCCTAGAATCTAGTTCCCCAAACTTAAAACCTAATTCAATTCGTTTTTTAAGGGGACAAGCTGAAATCACGCCCATCAACAGGCATCATTTGATATGAGGGCGTGTTCAAAACAAGGGCGAAATTAGTTAAGGGATTTATCGTACCGAGGGGCTGGGGCACTTGTATGCTTTGCAATGCAGGCCAGCAAACAGTGGTGTGCTTTCCAGTAATTGCAAATAATCTTGACAAACTATATGGAAAATCGCAGGAACTTTTTAGTCATTGGACAGTTCTCAAAAGTGCATAGTGCCAAGCTGATTGCTTGAGTTTTCGCTACACTTTTTACTCCTCATCACCCCTCCTCACAACCCTAAAATGTAGAAACCCGAACAAATACAGCAGTTATGCCCACTCATTACATTTTCATCTTTTTCCTTGTCAAACTGGGGGCAAATTTTGACATGCCATCGTGACTACGCTCACAAGACCAACTGTTACTCTGAAGATAAACAATTGTTCACAATCGTGCCATTAGAGAAAGAGGAAAGTTTTCCCAAAGCAGGACGACCGAATTCCACTGTAGGCTTTCGTTTTTCTCCATTGATACACGAAAACGTTATCTAAACACTGTTTTTTTCTCTTTATGTCCCTGGGGCTGCCTCATTTCAGGCTCTTCTTTTAATATTAGTCAATTTCAACCTGCAACTCCGTGAGCAACTCTGACGGTATTTACGATTAGACCTAGGAAAAAGAAAAAATAAACGTTATTTAAAAGCTAGATGTAAATATGTTTGAGATTCAAATGAGCTTTCTTCAGTATACACAATCACCTTTTGTTTTTGAGGAGTTAGAGACTGTCTGCCGCTTAATTTTCACTTAATCAGTGTAAACTTTTGAAACGCGTAAGATTTCGCAAAATTCGCGTTTTAAACTAATCAGAAAATTTTCAAAGTCTAAAGTGTTAGACCAGTCATTTAGAGCTCAAAACGGTTCATTCACAATGCAATGGAACTTTGAGATGCTTCATTTTATGAAAAGGCCCTTTTTATTTATCGAATGAGGAATCTGCCACAGCGAATATCATAGAATGTAAATTATTTTGTTTTGGGAATATCACAGTTGATTAACCTGAACAGTAAATTCATTTAATTTTAAAATATGTACTGTCTGGGGTTTTTTATTGGATGATGGGACGTGATGTCTACATGTGCAATTATAATGTGAAATTTTACGGTGAATCAAGAAAGTAAAATACCCAACATGCGTTTGTTTCGTTTTTGCAGTAATAATGTCATACCTGATTAATAATTTACGGAGGTGGAATGATCACTTTAAAAGGAATGTTTTCGGGAGCAGTGGTGTGCCTTAAAAGGTGTAGTAATTTTACGGAAAATACGAATGAACTCGAAATGACCTGCACTTATCATGTCGAAATGACGTTTGGGGTATGCGGCGAATGCAACGAAAATTCGTGCATAACCTATGCACCTGGCAGGATGTTGCCGTTAGCTTTTCGTTAAAACAGTTGTTTCTTTGCTTTTCGGACTGGATCGGATACTTAGCAGACCCCTTCGTGAAAGACTGCAGCTGTCATTCAATGTATAACTAAAAATCGGGTTTCCTACTCACAAAATTAGATTTTCATAATTGAATTAGAGATGAAAATATTTTGAAAGAAGTACTTTTGACTTAAGTTGCAAAAAATACGTTAAGGTTAGAGAAAGACCTACTTTTAAACGATCTCTCATTGCAGGAAATTGACATTACATTAACCACTAATTTTTAAAACATCCGGGATTGTACAGCTCTAGCGATTGGTGATTCTGCGGCTTAAATGATCATTTCGAAGCCATTTTTCTAAGATCAGAATCTCGCTTTTCATTTGCTCTAATAATTATTCAGCCGCATTTAGAATCTTCCAATAACTTTGTGCAAACAGGAATTAATAATCGGACGGAATCAATCTGCGAAACATCCTTCTCTGTATATAGACATTTATCTAGTCGAAAAGATTACTAACATGACTTTAGTAGGGCATACCAAGTGTCAACTATTTGGCAGAGTGAGATAAAAATAATATATTAACTTTGCTGACAAATTTGAGATGAAATTGTGTTAAAAACCGACCCTGTCAAAGTCATCAATAAAAGACATTTAGTCGTAAATACTTCTACGAAAGTCAGTAATTTTTGACAATTTCGGAGATTTTTTACCCAATCTGCAGATAGAACAGACTTGTTTAGGTTTTTAAACAACCTGAGTAGCTTCCGAAGGTGTCACATAATTATTAAAGGCTTTAACACTTTAAAAAACAAGATTTGGGCCTTTGTGCGTCCTAAGAGAGCTGACTTTGGGAAGGGCTTTAAGGTGCCCATCTTTATTCGGAATGAGGTGTAGCTCACTGAACAAGCTCTCAAGAGAAGTATCCTTATTCTCCCTTTAAATTTGCATCATATCGTGACTTTATTTTTAGTAAAGGCACCATGTCGTCCCTAAAAAAACCTTCTGATTAATAAAAACATTGATGACAAAAAGCGCTCCTGTGCTGCAAGTTAACAGGTAGTTGGCCCCCATAATAACGCCTGGCGTTAACGCCCTTCCTCCCATGATATCCTAGTCACTCAGAGATGCATTTCTATTGAATAAGGGTAAGCGAAATGAATGGTTTCTAACGGATTAAAAAAAAGCCACGAGCTACTAGAGGGACCATCTATCTTTGTATTGTGCTAATCAGGAAGACCAACGAATCAAAACATCTAGAGCACAAAAGAAATTGTTTCAGGTTGGCTTATTCATTTTGGAGAGGAGGACCGAAGGAAGGGGTAGGGGAGGGAAAAGGAAGAGTTGGGAATTGTGCACACTGGGGCCAGCTCATCGTGCATGACACGACTTCCGGCGTCACGCAAAACATAAACTCTAGTTAGACATTATTCGTGCACTCTCATTCCAAATGGGTCCAGTTTTTTCACGCACACACATACACACAATCTTGGTCCTCTGCACAGGTCTGCTCCACTCCTTGTCGTGCCAAAAGCCAGCCGCTTCATTGGGTGTGGAAACTTGTAGACACATGCCATAAAGTAATTAAGGCTAGAAGTACAAAAAACGGTAGCGTTTTTGAGATGGTGTCAACTCATTCGCGTGTATGTGGTGTAGCGACTACCATTGAGTGTTTTTAATGCGTCGCGATGATTCATCAGTAACCTTTGTGTCGCATACAGAATTGTCAAATTAATGATCATCTGTAGGAGCTCTCGTTCTTTGCAGTCGCATTCAGCGTTTTATTTGAACTCATAATAATAAGGATGTAATGCTTTCAATTAATATCTCCTTTTAAAATTATTTCCAAGATAGTTCAGACTTAAAAAGAGGGCTTTTCCTAGGTATGAGGTGGAAAAACTATGAAGTTTAAATCAAGTGGCACTTTATCCCACTACTTGTGTATCCTAACGACTAAGCACGTGATTTATATAGTGTAATAATACAGGGCAGTCAGAAATGCCCTATTTCCTATTCGAAGTTACACAAATTTACATAACCCAGAATTATTTCTTTCTTGAAGTCTTATATTACGCTCGAAAAATCTGTCTGTCTGAGCCATTTTGATTGCACAGCTTTTAATATTTACTAGTGTTTATTTATTTACATAAATCTAGACTGAAAAATTTCGTAAATTTTTAATCGAAACGAGACTGTTTTGAGACCGATTTGGAGCTCACAACAGCCCATCCGGTAGATAATTTGGCCTGATTGTGGTCTCATTTACGCACTTATCTAAATTTTACGGCCATTTTACCAAGTAGCAAAGAGAGCATGCCATCTTTTTACAATTAAAGCCACAAATACTATTTTGGATGAGAGTTGGGGATAGTTTTCACTGCTGAAGTACAACCTTCTTAGGTGAAATTATCTACAATTCACTTCACAATAAATTGTTTGAAATTATGGAACATCCTCCCTCGCACACTTTGATATTTGGATATCTTTTTTAAATTCCCCATTACTTATTCGAGTGGGTGATTGGGTGGGCGCATTGGAGGTCTTTGGATTTGTTACATCCACTCTGACCTTTCAACAACAAGCATAATTAATGCGATTGCCCTATGAGGCTGGATTCAACTATCTTTGTCTTAATTTTAGCAAAACACTGAATCACTATAGCTTAGTTGTGGAAGTTCCCTCGCCACTTTAATTAATTGGAAGCGGTTGACTTTCCCTGGCCAAATTTTTGGAGGTTGGAGAAACAAACCAACTTGATAAAGCTTCTTAAGTTACTGTGGAAAGGTTCGTATATTTCGCCAAATGTTAGAGGCACTCGGAATTGCAAAATCATCACTTTGTCAACACAACAATGAGACCAAAAGTTTTTTTTTTACATCGGTATACCTTGACTTATGTTTCATAAGAACTATCTAAAGTTGTTATTTTTTAATCTTTTTGAATTTTTCTTGTAATTGTCAAACTGGTAGTGGACAACAAATTTTACCTCCTTTTCTACTGCAGCTCAGCACTATCAATCATCCTGGTATCAACTCGTGTCTTCAAAACACTCCCTCACAAGAAATAAATTGACAAATAAAAGAAAACTTTTGGAAGTTTTGCCTCTCCCTCTAATGCTGCTACTAAAAGATTGTATTGGTTTGGGTTATGTTGTAAATATATAGGCTCTTCTGTACCTATAGGTTCTTGTCACCATCTTAGTGACAAAAGTTCTGTTTGTATTATTTCTGTCAACAGTCCTCAAGCACTTCTGTTGGTTTATAAAGAAGATTTAGCCAAGACTCAGATATTCTATAACTTCTTTAGAGAGCAAGATGACAAGAAGGATTGGATGCTCAATATACGCTATGTGGAGCTATTTTGTGCTGCGAGTTTCAATACATGAATTCGCTTTTAGGAAATAGTCCTTATTAATGGTGATTAGCATATGAAATTCACTCTTGGCAGACTATCGAATTGCCTTGGGTACAAAGCCAGTGAGTCCTTGCAATGCAGCTAAAATATTTAACTCCTAGCTCCCGGACGATTCTAGCGTACCGGCTACTGACAGAGAAGAGTGACTATAGGGGGCTCCTGGTCAGATTATGTAACAAAGTAAAGTTTTTTAAATGTGACTGTCTCTGAAGGTTCTGGTCACCATATGGGAGATAGGGGGTTCTGTTCATACCATTTCTTTTAATTATATCCCAGATCTTCTGTGAAATCATGGTTAAATTTTGTTTAGTAGGACACATCGCATTGCGTAGTAAGAAAGATCTATGGTGCTAAACCAAAATTTCAAGAAAATGCTTGTAGCAGAAAAATTCAAAAAAACAAAATCTTTAACCAAAACATTAATTTTCCTCTCACTCCATGGCAAAGGAAGGACAAAGCGGTTCGTTTCAGACTTATTAACCTGTAAGTTATGTGCAAATGAGTAAACAAGTAAATTAAAATAACTCAACTTAGCCATAATACGTTTCTCCTACTGACATCAAAAATTGCATAACACGTACTTTACAAAAGCCATGCAGGTAGGGCAGAAGTGAAGAGACCACCATGAAGGTGACGGTTTAATGTATTCTCGGTTAATGGAATCATGGAGCCAAGAGGGATTCTTTCCCATTTCCCAAACACTGTGAAGTCTTCAAGCGTTGTTGAGTTGGTAGTACACAGCAAAACTTGGTAGTGACATCCGAGCGTGGCTAATGTTGTACCTGTTTTCTTCTCCTGAAGCTCCACCTCATCGCTGATTCTCCACTTTGCTCACTTTCAGTAATCAAGTCGCCTTATGGCTAGAAAATTTCTCCTAGCACCACCTCAACTTACAAAGCGCAAATGATATCGTAAATGGATGCTTGAATTTCTCTATGGTCCATTAATTTGTTTCATAATTAAATTTAATTTGATTTTGTGGAAATTATTTCCGCAAAATCAATTTTTAGTTTATTTAACAACTAAAATACAAATTTGGAAAATTGGTTAGAAGTCCTTATAGAAAATACACAAAAAGTGCCTTGTGTGAATTGTGTTGGAGATATCTGCTTCCAAACTACATGCTGCCTTTTAAGCAAATAAAAC